GTAGTCTATTCTGTGCATGTTCTGTGGTCAACCAGGAATCCTAGCTTTTGACCCACAGCCATGTTCTTATTGCACTTCTTGCCTGCCTGTGGTGAAAAATTGGATCGAAATGGTGCAGGCAGCAAAGCCATGTTGAGCACCTGAAGTTACCAGTGAGTCAGTGAGGGCCAGTAGATGACTTTTGCATACTTTTGCCATGACTTTTGCCTCCCTGTCTAGCTTGGAGAGAGCCTTGCAACTATGTTTGTGGAAGCATGTGGACACTGTGTCATCTATTGAGTCAATCACCCCGGTGTTGCCATGTGGCGCGGTAGCACTGCCAGTAGCCCCACACCACAACTCAGACTGCCACGGCTGGTGCGGAAATGCCGGAGTCGTGCCACAGACCCTGCGACAGCTGGAGCTTCCCGATCTCATCCCCACCTATCCACGCCTCAAGTGTTGGCCACTCAGCTACTACAGTACTCTTCATCAACACATGGGCCCATTTATCGGCCCCAAGAACAACTCTTTGGAAAGGAACAGACATGTGACCAACAACATGTGCATCCGCCAGTAGGTGGGGAGCTCGTGCCGCGATCGTGGGGAGTATGACGATCGATGGCTGTGTCTGACCTGGGCAGGATTCCAGCACATTTGAATGCCTGCGTGCAGGGGCTGACTGGTTGCACGGTGGTAGGCGTGGGCTTTCTGCATTTCTTGTCAAAGTGTCAAGGCACGGGCGGCATTCCACCTCAACTGATATCAACTGCACAAGAAAGGAACTAAAGCATGGGCTGGCTCTAATTATGTTTCTTACTAGACGCAGGCAAAAACTTATGGTTCGCTTGCAGTATGCAAATGCCACTGCTCCGACTTTCAAAGAGGACAACCAGACCCGTATGTCGGATGACTTGGGACGGGGAACTCCTTCGATGACGTGGCCAACATGTGGTCCCATGTTGTTGAGCACCAGATGTGTGACATGCAATGGAACAACGTGTTCCTCCTCGCATTCATACAGGATAGCTACTTCAAGTACACCAACCCATCATCAACCTGTAAACCTTTGAAGAAATTAGAGCCTCTTCAAAGAGTTGTGGGAACATGACTGTCCTCAGCTCGTAGTTCTTGTCAGTTTGTTTTTGGTGAGCCAGCATGTCAATGTCACAATGTCCCTCGGTTGGGGGACATTTACTGTGAAATACCGTTTAGCAGTTTTTTCTTCATGGCATCACCTTGGCAACTGGATGATGGAACTCTGGCAATGTCAGCATCCAACTTGAGGTTGCTGGTATTTACCGAGGGTATCTCCACTGCCGATTCGTTTGTTGCGAGGCGCTTGGCAACTGACTTTTACTTTCCCCCACTGGGAGCGCATTGCAGGCCCTGTGCAGGAGGCAGCGAAGCTCAGCTCATTTTCCAGGTTTTGGATCTGTTGGTGAATGGATAGACGTGGCAAACCGCGCGCACTTAAGCTTAGTTTTTCTTGAAACGAGTTGTTTTTTCCCGAACTGGGTAAATCCTCTCCTGGTGCAGATTCTTATTGTCTACCAGCTCCTTAAGCAAATCCAAGTAAAGACTTTGTTTGTTTGGAGCTTTCTCCTCTGGCCTTGACGAAAACAAGCTGATTCAGAACTTTTGGCTGCCAGGAAGTGCCAGAAGCAAACAACCAGAAATGCAGATGACGATGTCGCATGTGTTCAGTTGGGGTGTGGGGTGATTCGACAGATACATCATGATACATCACTAACATCAGCGAACCCATCAACGCTCCACAAACAGTGTTTGCGTTGTACAGGCGGGATCCTCCTGGGCCTATTGTGCTGTCCTCCTGCTTGCGCTGGCCTTGAGCAACTTTGTTCATGCCACCGAGCTTTGTTTAGCCCATTTTGGGGGTGTCCTATTACCTGTAACAGTCGGTAAACAATTACCACGTACTATTGTAGAGAAAGGCCTGCAACCTAACCATAATCATCCCCGTTTACCGGGAATTGGATATACTCAAAGGCTGATTCAGAAGTGCTGCTTGCGGACGATGGGGCAATTTTTTACGGTCGACCCTGACACATCAGTCTTTTGAAATCTGAGCTTGGTAAGTGCAATGTGAGAGCAGCGCTCTTGTGAGAACGAAGATCTACAAGACTTTGGAGCACTTGGGGCATATCTCAAGTTTACTCAACTGGCAGGTCAAAACTCATCAAAAACCATCAAACACCAGTACCGCCAGTACCCATAAGTGTACTGAAAGACTCCCAAAAGGGAAAGGCTAGCATAAGACTGAAGGAATCGCCTCGGTGGTAGTTGCCTAGACATTTGTTTTCAACCTTTACTTGGGATGCTTGAACCCATGGACAATATGGTTTCATTTGCGTTAATTTCATTGAAGCTACCAACCAAGGACACAATTGCATTTGAGTTAAGATTTATGTTACAATTCTTGGCCTTCATTGGGCCGCAGCAATTTAGACTTCCATCAGGTCCACCGATCTGGTTTCGAGCTTTCTGGCAGATCGCAGAACCTGCGGACAATTCTTGGCGGTGTGGCGCTGTGGCAGTCCCACCCCCCACCCGAGGGAAGGACACCCCGCCGAGCCGAAACCGCCCCGAGGCTGGCTCCTTCTTTCATTTGTTGACGAAGGCGCGGCCAGTCTTGATGGCATTGCCGCAGGCTTCTTTATAGGTTTTGATGGCCCTGCTTTTTCAGCTCGGTCACTCATCGGCCCCGTTTTTCACCTGTGGCCGTTGGTTCACGGCAAGCAGCAGTTGGCCGATCGAAGACTCGAAGCATCTCGAAGCCCTTCATATCTGCCCTTCCAGATTTGTGGTTGATTCATCAGATGTGGCTTTTAAAGAACTGTTTCTTTTTGCCCGGACCCATCCTGACCTTTTAACCCCCCCTTCCAAGTATAGACGACGCGTTTGCTCCCACAGCCAACTTGCACTCCAATGTCTCTTTCTTGGCAACCCTTCAACTATAATTATAGACTCGTGGCATCGAAAAGGCCCCATATCTGTGAAGAGGTCGACAGGGTTTTACAATCCACGTTTGGAGGATGTTTTTTCTTAAATCAAGCTTCGAGATTCTACGTGCTCCCAGACACCCCACTCCCAATCTGTTTGCCCTTCTCTTCGCACGCCCTCCGTTTCTGCTGCAGGTGGGTGTGGTGTCCACCGGTGTGGCCAAAGCGCTGCAAGGGGTTCTGGTCTTCGTGCTGTCACATGTGCTCTACTGCAGGCTCCTGTCACAGCTTGGAGAGCATAACACCCAGACGCGACACGTCTGGGACTGCCATAGGACTGCCGATCAGTTGGGGTGGTGCCAGGGGGGTCAATATATACCAGTCCCATAAGTCGTGTATACCAGGACCCCTTCCAACAGGTGGTTTTGGGACACCTTGAATCACCTCTAAGAGGACACCTCTTGGAAGCTCCTGGTCATGCGTTTGCTTGTTCTGCTTCGGATGGGGTCCGGATGTGTCCGTCCTTGATCGGCGCGGTGCTGGAGCAAGCGAGTCGCGAGCGAGGGGTGGGCCACTGGAGCCGGTTTTGGGGGGTTGAACGGTTGGGTTGGAGGAGAGACCGGCATAAGCCAGACGCTCCGTTCACAGCCCGACTGGTCCCTCAAAAGCTAGTAGGGATTTGAGACTCCTGAGCCCTCCATATGAGGGTCCAGGATCGCGTCTGGGAAGCCCCTTTAAGGTGGCTCTTGCTCATGTGGGCAGATGCCGAAAGAGGGAACTGGACTCTGCACAAATACGACCAGCTTCTTCCAAAAAGTGGCCGAACTGACTGGAGTCCATCCGGTGACCTTTTCCATTGATTTTTTCCCTCTGACAAGTCCTCAAAAAGCAGGGCTGGTGGTTTAAGCCACAAGTGATTGATGATCGAAGTCATTTCCCGGTGCACCTTCAGCCCAGCTCTTCTTGATTTTCCCGTTGGACCTATTGAAGATACCGTCGCGCCTTGTCGTTGATAGGCACGATGAATCTCAATGTTTTTCGCCTGTGAAGGGCCTGTCTGCAACTCAGAGCTCAATTTTTCTGCAAATGCGCTTCAGACCCCACAGTAAGAACCCTTGCTTGTGATTGAATTGCTGACCCCATAGTAAGTTCCTTTGTTCACCTTCATTCTTCAATAGCACCATATATTCAAGATACTCACAAAAAGTAGAACAGTCAGTATCAATTTGAAGGATGGGTCACGCCAGTCCACCCGGCGTCCATCCCTCCAAGGTCCTTGCTGATCGTGACCCTGGGCGTCCTATCCTATGTGGCCAGCGCGTCGCCCTCCTAGTCGGACGAAGGCTGCAGCGGCCGGACCGGCGGCGGCCGCATTCCATACGTCGGTTTTTTGCGGCACAGGAAAGCGCTTTTTTAAAAGTAGGCCCTAGTAGTTAGTCCTTTTGAGTATTCGTGACTCAGATGTGTTTGATTGTTTTCCGGCCGTTCGCGGAGCTGTCGAGCAGCGTGAAACGCTGTTGTCGACGCCTCCATGCATCGTTTTCGAAGAAAAAAGGACTCACGGGTCATCACGGGTGAATCGTGCAAGCAGTTTTTGTCCACGAGGAGTGGCTGCACAGTCTCCGGCTTTGCTTAAGCTTTCGGTTGAGGTGTGCCTTTTGAACTCAGGCAAATGGATTTCCAGGACTAGCTCACTAGCTGTCAACAGCCAACCCTCACACGGGCAGCGATGTCAGTGGGGCTACTGGCTTTGCAAGACAGCAACACATTCCACCATGCTCAGCAGCTTTGAGGGCAAATCCCGCACTTCCTACAGTCCTACAGTATAGTTATGCTGGCCAGGCACTAGTCACCAGGTCACAGGGACAGCTGAGCTTCCGGCAGGCTACAGAGGGAGACAGAGATCTCTTATACATATCATACAAATACTGACTGATAAATCCACTCAATTACGTTTGGCAACTCAAGGGTGCGTTTCCTCCGTAGACTTGACAATGCATGACCTTGGGTGCAGGGCGTAGTCCTCCCAAGTAGGGCAGTGCCAATGGTGCCACAACTATGGCGGATCTCAGTTGGGCTCTCAGTTTCATGCCCCTTGACCATGGGCCATCCAGGGAGAGTTGATGCTTCACTAATAGGACGAAGATGACAGCCACAAGACTGGTACGGGCACGAGAATTGAGGAACAGGTCGTGCTGGTACCGTTCCATGTTCATCTGAATGCTGGCCACATGCCAATGATCGCTGCTGGCCACATGTTGAGAAGTGAGAGGAATTGAGTACCTTTGAATCTGGCACAGATAGTCATTTGCACAATGATCTCACCATGCTTCACCTATATATTGGACTTTGACAGGAAGGTGTGGGAAAAAGAGACCATCATGGTCTAGGGCGTCGGCTGTTTTGGAGGTGTCATTCAGAAAAAAACAGAAGAAAACAGCACAACCAGAGATAGCGAGAGGGAGGGAGGGAGGGAGGGAGAGAGAGAGAGAATCATGCTCCACCTACAGAGGTTAAGTGACCTGAACTAGGACCGTAACCAGGGGTACCTATAGGATAGTCTAGTTCGGGTTCTAACCCACCTCTGCTGGCATGTGGCGGGGTTGGGAGGCACATCATGCCCTAGCTCTTGAGGCTATGGCGATGCCGCCTATTGGGACCAGCGTTACTCCACGAAAGGCAGCCCTGATGCCGCTTCTTCCGGAGAAGGGTTGGGAGGGTCGGAAGGATGGAAAGATGTTGTGATTGTTGTGCTTTCAAGCCAACCAGGAGCAAGGACGCTACTAGGAGCAGAGGGCATCCCTACTAGGAACAAGGATGCTAAGTTGTAGTGCTGTGATGGGGTCATTTCTTATTCGTTCAAGGCGCTCCTCCACTGTGGAGAGATCGTGGTGTTTTCGATCGCACATGAAGAGATCGTCGAGGTGCACCCCCACCTCCGACATTGAGACTTTCTTGGTGAGACCAGAGCCGAAGAATGTGAGAGTGGAGACGAACACGGAGCGTGTGAATCTTCAAAATGTAGGAATCTTGGAATAGCCCTTACAACTCCAAGCACCTCCTCAGAAGGTATGACTGGACCCTGCTGGCACCCAGTCCCACCTTCTCAGAAGGTGCGACTGGAGCCTTAGGGGAATAGTGAGATGTTTCCTTTGGAAGGTTTTGGAAGAATCTTTGGACCGGACCATGTTGAACGTGGCAGATTTTGTGTTATTCAACGGATCCTTTAGGTGGCTGCAGTCTCAATTTCGCTGATCATCCTTTGCAAGAGTTCGGACAAAAGCATTGGTAGCACTTGTTTTCGCTGATGAACGTGATGTGAGAGTGCACGTGGAGTTCAAAACCGTCATTGGTAACAGGAAACCTATGGAAACCTCGTAACCAGGCACCTGGTTTCTTATGCGTCATGCCCTATGTTCACTGGGTTTGACTGGTATTCGGGAGTGCCCAAGAAGTACTTTTTCCATATTCTTCCCGCGTATTCTGCTAGGGCTAGGGATATTATCTCCGTTGTTTCCGCCAAAGATTGGCGTTCCTGCTGCACGTCGGGTCGCAGGATTGTTCTTCCAAATTAGGCTCGGCCTCCTGTTGTTTGCAAAGGATGCTGCCTTGAAAAGTAGCCAGCCAGCAGCCCAAACTCACAAAAAGGATGGGGATCCAACTCCAAACTCAACTTCGGAACTGCTGGCACCGCCATCCCCAGCTCCTAAATTAGGCGCTCCGCTTTTTCTGTTCTCCCAGCTAAGCTGCGCAGCATCAGCTCAGACCGGGCAACGCGCCTAGGAGTGGCTCTTGCACTGGACCTCCATCTCCCAAGTCTTTGAGAAGTACTGCGGCGAGCACAGGCGGACGGAGCGCGACGCGGGCGGTGTCCGCTCGATCCGCGCGAGACGAATTCCGCACGAAAAGAGCTGGTTTAGCCGCCTATCTCATTTGTTGGGGGTGTGCTCAGTAAACCTGTTAACAGTCAACAGTCACCACATGTCATCACTTCTTTAGAGGAAGGCCCTTACTAAGCACCATTACAGGGAATGGGATATACACAACCCATATGTAATTACCACTAATTAACGTACTATAGCTCTAGGATCCCATAAGGTCGCTCGACCTTTTGTTGGAAGGGGCGCCACAGGAGACCGTAGGAGTCGGAGAGTTCGACAGAAGCGGAAGTCGAACCTCCTATTAGCTTTCGTAGGGACAGTCTCAGGCCTTTGAGCAGTTTGGGCCACACCTACAAAACACCACCCTTCCGGTGTCCCGGCCATTCTCCCAAAGCCACCAACCAGCAAGTGATTCAATCAAACATCATCAAGCCGCAAATTGAAGTTTCTTCAAGCTCGCCAGGACTCAATGGAAGTTTCTTCACGCTGGATGTGGCAACAGTGCTTTAACCTTCGAGCAGCTCGACAAAGCAAAGTGTTCCCTCATTGACGCACAAATGGGTGAATCACTTGATCGCACTTGGTGTTGGAACCGGTGTTAGTCTTTCAGTTGAAGTGGGCCAGTCTTGCTGTCCACTGGGTGACCCTCCCTCACTTCGAGAACATTGTTGGATGCAACATGCCCAATCGCCGCTGAAAACGTGCGGCGACGTGGGGTTTTCACGTTCTGAAAACCCAGACCTTGATGTTCAATGCCCGCGGCGACGCCCCATGATCAAAATGTTCAACGGCCAGGTGCTGTGGGAAAATGTTCCATTTTGTTCCTTCACCCTGGGATTCAATCAACCATTGTTTTAATGCGGAATGCGGAATGGAAAACATATATACTGTATATACCTATAGGATTCAAACAACGTTGTTTTAAGGGTCTGAATCCCAAAGAACCCTTGTTTTACTGAGGATTTTTACACTACACCACCAGCTCAAGCATTCTTTTAATGGTCTTTGAAGGCTAGGGTTTATGTTCCTTCATTTCAATTGGTCCAATTCATTCCATACCATCGGAGGCCAAACCCAAGTGGAGGTCATTTTGTAGTTCGCTCGCGATGTGTTCGTTCGTTCGTTCGTTCGTTCGTGATGCAGTTCCCAACTTCGTACATTGCTTGCCTCAGGATGTATCGAGCTGGATATCGTCAGATCACCAGTGCCTTGCATGGAGCATCCGGGTGGGTTCTCCGATGCGGGTCATGAGGGCCAGCGTTCTTTGACTGTCAAGTTGTTAACAAGGAACATGCTGCTAGCGCTGCTCAACTAGCAGCAGGTTCATGTCTTGGTGGCGCAGGGGGGGTTCCAGCAGCAATAGACAAACATGCCATGCATTCAGATTCCTACCTTGGTTCTCCACCGATGCTGAAGGTTTCATGAGACCATCCGCAGGAGCTGTTGGTGACTGGAACCAGACCTGTTGGCCAAATGCACAACCTCACATGTCCAAATGCAAAAACTCCGGGGACGGGGTACGGGGGCACCCCTGGCACTGGGGGCCCTGATGGGCCCTGGTATATTGACTTCTGCTGAGGGAACTTATAGAGGCGACCCTTGGAAGTGGGCTTCACCACCTGTTTGTAGACAGATTCGTTTTCCCAGTTAATAATGTAGACCCAACAGAATATCCATTTGCTAGAACTGCCTGGTCTTCTTTTTCTTAGTGCTGTTTGATCCACTCCATGAGTGGTTGGGTTTGGGGAGTTCATTAGGGCCCAAGGCTTTAGTCAGCAAGTTGCTGTGCTTTTACTTCACACGTGAAGGCTGTGTTCATCGATGTGCTCGTGCGCAGATGTGCGTCCGGATGTTCACCACGCGTCCGGCTTGCTGAGTGAAAGCAACGTCCACGCGTCGGCTCCAACGCTCTGTTAGATACCAACGGACAGGCTGAAGTGTATATCCCAGACACGACCTGTCGGGACTGCCATGACGGACGGCCGATCAAGCCGGAACCCCCGGATTCCTTCCACCACCACCCCGGTCGGCAGTCCTTTGGCAGTCGCAGACAGGTCGTGTTATGTCGTGTTTGAGTATTCACGACCTGGTCCGCGGGGCCACCGGTGCAGAACCATTGAGGTATCGACAACTCCGCCACGGTCATCCAGCAAATGCAGGCCGCGTGTTGAGTTCGTTCGTGCGGATGTTCGGTGCTGAACCAGGATGTGGATCGGATGTACTGAACGGAGATGTTGCCAGTGGCGGAATTGGTTTGGAGAGAGCACAATGATCTGTGCACCCTCCGTAGCCGCCGTAGCACTGGGAATTCCAGGCCCGCCGGGCCCCTTTCTCCGATGAAAAGACCCGTTCCTTTTATACTGGAAGATGTGCCAACAATGGGGTGGTTTTCAGATGCTTTAAAGCTTCACAGATGGTTATACTGTAAATAGAATGGCAAATTGACATCTTCCAGTCCAGCGTGGATGGTTGCAAGACATATGACCAGGCTGATCCATGCTGACCCACATCGTTCCTGATCTCGGGAGGGCAATATGTGTTCACGTCTCACCTCCTCCGTCGGTGCAGGAGGCGCACGGTGAGGATGGCCTGGAGTGGTTCTGCATGGATGTCGGTGTGCCTTGACCGATCGGGTTGAGGGGAAGGTAGAGCTGAGAGCTGAGAGCCAAACGGAAGAGACTGAATCACATGGATCCTGGATGATCTGGATGGCTTGGAAAGGAGGGGTGGCTCGAGTGCAAGCCAGCCGCGGTATGAACGATAACGTGCTCATGCAGTACCAAAACTGGTAGCCGAATTGGCTGAAGGGGCTTAAAACTCTTGAACCACCTGTTTTTGTTTCAACAAGGTGTTGCAAAAAGTGGAAACGAGACTAACCAGCTCGAATGGACAGCCATCAGAAGGGTAATATACACTAAATGGCAGATGCAGTGTTTTATTGGTGTGTTCTTCTATAGGCAGGGTTGAGAACTCTCAACTACATGCTCTCCTTCCAATTTCGACACCTGAAAAATCCATTTACCCAAAAATGCCTGGCCCCTTCCCCCGGTGACGGACTCGTCCTCAGCTTCGACCCCGCTGTTCCTCCGATGCACCGATCCGCCCACCCGGCGTCGGCAGGAGATGAGCCTCGCGGAGCAGAGCTTCGATGTGGTCATCGAAAAAGGCGCCGCGCCGGGCGGAGTTGGCGCCGAGTAGGCGGTGGTGGAGATCAAGGAGGCAATGGGATGAACATAGAGAGTTTTGGTAGTCTTGACATGTTTTGACTGGTACTGGGAGAAAAAAACACATGGCACGTTTAACGTGTTCCTCCAAAGCACACGGTGAGGCCTTCTGGACTGCTTGGCATGCATGGAGGATGCGCACTTGGCCACCGCGAAGTGCATGAAGGAGGTGCCGTGCTGTAACCGCCGTTGGCCGCGGTGAGCCGGGCTGGTGCGGAGGTGACCTGCATCCACTGCGGAGGCGCATGGATCATTCGATCAGAACCCCAGTCCCAAGCAGAAAGAGTTCCCAACCATGAAACTCCCTTCCGCGTCCCAAGCATTTCGTCCGTGGATTTCAAGCTGGCGCCACACTGGAAGAAGCAGACTTATTTCTGGGACTGGGCCTTGCATGCTTTTTCAAGTCGCGACGATGACCTGTAGAGTCGGGTGCTGGGATATGTACTGTAGCGACGGTTATATAGACTGTTGACGAATCACATGCCCTCTTTGAATTGTAAAAACCATGTCAAACCTCTCCACATGCAGTGGTTGACATATCAATTATAACCAACCGGCTTTAACACCCTCGGTGTTGCAACTCGAAGTGCAGGCCAGCACCCCGCTTCCGACTCCGGGTACTTCGGTGGAACCATGATGCCAAGCATTGACCCTACTATTGGTCTCCAATTTGGACACCCAGTGGAAACGCTATTCCTAAGCGTGCTTGATTTCGGCTGAAGTGAAACACCTTGGAACGTGTTGTTGCCCATTGTCCGACTAGTTCTCAAGACAGGAAGCTCCAATCGCAATCAATGAACAGCTCTTTTTTTGGGGTGATCGCGGTCTGTTGGCTCTATACTCGTAGAGCCGGTGCCTGTATGATTTATACAGGTTGATTACCTGGCACTGGGAGTCAACCTCTCTCCACGGTCTGGTGGAAAGAAACGGTCGATGGGTACCTGGCACTGACCGACCTCCTTTTCTTCCCAGAAGAGGACCTCGTTGATTCCCCCTTGACCTCATCGCAACTTCACGCAGCAAAAGATCCAACTGCTTTTGGTTGGGACTAACACGGAAATCAGAGAGAGAGAGAGAGAGAGAGGCCTTTTGACCAAAATCGAACGAACTTCCCTATAGTGCCATGAGATCAGGTCATCCGCATCTTAAAGTTCGATGGCTTCTTCTTTTGCATCAGCTTCAATCATCAAAGGGCACCCAGCCTCACCTCGGCGCCCTACCATTTCCGCCTCTTGGAATTGGGATGGGTGGGGGCCACAGCATTGGGCTTTGGGAGGACTATAGGACCACTGTAGCCCCAAGCGGGATGAGCGGTTGGGTGGTAAGAGAGAGGATCGTGTGGGTTTCGCCAATCAGTTCCAGCGTGTGTGAAGTGTTTTGTGAACAGGTAGATATGACACGTGCGAAGTTGGATGAACCGGAAGACGTTGCTCGAATTTCACCCTATGGGCTCCAACCAAATATCTTCAGAATCGTGGTTCGCCTTTTGGCACTCACCCCAACCATCTTCTCAGGAGCTAAGGCATCCTGGCCTCCAATTTTGGGTGGTTGCCTCAACCAGTACCTTCGGTTCGGGGGTCACCTGGCTGGTTTCGCCCCAGCCCACCATGGTCCAGCAAGGTCATCAGCCCGCGCGCCGCGCAGCCCCCGCGACCCGCGCGCAGCACAGGCCTTTGTGAACTTCAGCGCACGGCCGCGCTCGGCGCGGAGTACTACGTGTGCCGTGGATCGATTCGGTTCCGCGGTCCGCCGGAACCGGGCCGATGGCGCCGTGGGCCTGGCACAAAGGGCCGGGGGGTCGAACTGGTGTTGGTTGATTTCGTGGGTTTTGGGGTGACATCACCGCAAAGAACGATTGGTTGGGTGGTGGACATCGCGAACCGGGAGAAGTCCCAGCCTGGCGTTGTTTGTTTTAGGGTTGGTTTCTCGCAGTTGTTGGAAGGTGATCTCGAGTGTGTTGTGTGTGAGGTGTGTATGATTGTGTATGTCCAGTGCGGCACATCCATCTTCGAGTGGGAGTGGGAGTGTGTATTTTTGGAGTACTTGCATCGACTCCATGGCATGATTAATGCGTAATTCCTTTGTGATCCTGGCTCAGCAAGTGACACAGGAATAGGCTGTGTGACAGTGGTGTCGGCGTGGCCGGAATTCGGCAGATCCGACACCCCCTTTTGCCAAGATGCCATGCCCTTTCGGAATCCGCAGTGCCGCGCATCAGCTCGAGCGTCAAGGGGCTTGGGCGAGCAGCTACCGAGCAGTGCTGCAGCGCTGCGGTGAGGAGCCGTGGAACATGCAGGTGGCGATTCACAAGCATATGGAGGGCTTTGTGATCACCAACCCATGCTGTTCTGATGCGGTTCAGCAGTGGAATGATGAGCATCCTGAGCTCAGCATTCAAGCGGGGCATGTTATCATGGAGCTCAACGGCTTCAGTGATTACAGCAACATGAGGGAGCAACTCCGAAGTGCTTCCACCTTGAACTTGCTCATGTCCACAGTGCGAGACGCTGACCAGGAGAAGGCCTTCCAGGTGCACTTGAAGCGGGAAGGTCTTTTTGCTGCACTTGATGCTTTGGTGGTCAAGGTCCACTCAGTACCTGGTGACTGTGGCGCCGAGGCTTGCTCCATTTGTCATGAGGACATGGACGGTGCCGAAAACCACGGCGGTGGGTGCTGTGTGCGGCTCCCATGCGGACATCATTTTCATGAGCTTTGCGTGAAGAAGTGGCTGGTGACTGGGAAGCACCGTTGTCCATTGTGCAACGGTCATCTTGACCTTCAATAATTCAACTTGGAGCAGCCGAGCTCGCTGCTCCAATTTTCCGAATCGCGTGATTCGAGGCTTCAGGGCTTTTTTCCAAGGAGCGGAGGTCAGCCCTCCTTGAGCACCTGAGTCCATGCAAGCTTTTCCGAAAGCCGTACCCGGGGGTTTGCTCCCAATTTTTGGTCCCAATCGTCTCCTCTTGGCATCGCTTTTCACGCCTGCCGCCTGGCGCCATCAAGCCTCTTTTCCAGGACTGGTGGTCAGGCTGAAGCCTTTGGGTTTGCATTCAGGTAAAGACGTCCTCACTGAGACCGGTGTCCCAAAAAAGAACTATCGTCAGGGTCCAGTCCAGCGAGCCTCTGGTCGCATGAGGCCGGATTTGGGGCTCGGAGAATGTGAATGGTTTCCAACCCAGAGGCTCATGGACCCTCAAACTGCTACATGTTTGAGGTCCCAAACCCTGGCTGTGAGGGTCAAAACCCTAGCTATGAGGGTCCAATGAGCCTCTGGGAAACATGGTTTCCAAGGTATGTCTTCCAGAAGGCCTCCGCCAGCATCTTGAGTTTGTAGCTCGGCGATGGATTTCGTCGAACGGTTCGGGGGATTGGGAGGCCCTCCAACATAGCCCAGCTTGACAAGCTACCTGAGCACGTGATTTGGTCGAGGAAGGGCGCCCGTGTGTGTGAGGGACATGTAACATGTATACAAGTATAGTGCATGTTATCCTGCTCCAAAAGCCTTCAAAAGGCTGAGTGGGGGGATTTAGAAGGAGGAGACCGGGAGCATGGAGGGTGATTAGAGGGCACAGTTGAAAAGGCACAAGACCTGCATGGTTGCCACCTGCAAACGGGAACCATTTTGTCATGTTCTTCCCTCTTATTGGCCCATTTGCCCAACCGTGCGCCGTCCGGAAAACGTCACTAAGCCCTAGCGCGGAAAGTACATGAAAGTACTCTACCTGGACCCTCCAAGGCGTGTGCAATGGACTACCCCACACTACCTATATTATATAGGCTTCCATTGGGCACCCCGACAGGAGGGTCCTGGGATGTCACGAGGCTGCATATGAGTTCTGAGCACACCCCCTCAAATTCCAAGACCGTTTTAAACATGGTTGAGCTGGTTCACCAAGTTAAAGTTCCTTGGTAAAAGGTGGTCCTTGGAATCCCACTGCATGTGAACATCATACTTATACCCAGGCACTCCATGTGACTGCCATATATGCCTACATTGACCCCCAAAACCATCCCAACTGATCGGCATATATGACAGACATGGAGTGTCTGGGTATAAGTATGATGTTTCCAGTTCAGTCATCTTGATCCTGTGAGTTTGGGATTGCAGCGATTTCTCCCGATTTCTCCAAAGATTTTCCCCGTTTCAAGGCCATCGCCAGGAGCCCGAAACCGGGCTCCTGGCCAGTCTTCTCCATTTCAGTTTGGTGTTTGGGGTGGGTGCCAGGGCTTAACCACCTGATGGTTGGAGCCCTGTCCGGGACAAAACTCCGCGAAGCTGCCGAGCTACCCACAAGACGCCCAGATGGCCGAGCTACTGGCGAGATCTTCGTCTACGGCTCTCGGAGGAAGACTATCGACTCATCGACCAGGAAGGCGAAGCGGGCGAAGCGACCCCGGCTGCGATCGGTAGGCGTACAGCTACATGTGGCGGTGAAGATGGGTGGGTGTAGAAGACGTACATATGTGTGTGTGTGTCGGAACCCAGAGAGGTTAAGTGACCGTAAATAGGACCCTATAGTGGGGTCCCTAGGGGATAGTCTATAGGGTTCTTCAACCTCTGTAGGAATGGTGTAGGATGGTGAAAAAAGCCCGTGTTTTGCGAGGGGGGTACAGTAGATTGCTGGACCATGCTAGACACCGGTGACAGGCACGTGGACAGATGCGCTTGATGCACAAGTGGGCGACGTTCTTGAGGCGGGATCGGGGTTCGCGGTTGGCTGGTCAAACGGAGGCATGAGGGAAAGGATCTATCCCTGGGCCAGGAGAGTTTGGTGAGATATCTAAAATTAGTATATAGTGTAGACATGGACAGACTATCCATGGGTTGGGGTGGATGTTCTTTCTTCGCTTAATTAGCCACACATGTGCATCCCGGCATCCCTAAGCTAGCTGGTGAGTTGAGGTGGTTCCTAGAGGAACATGGAACCTGAACATGGACCAGACTGGACACTCAAAGACCATTTTCCTCATACCAACCCGGTGGTATTGGGGGGTCCATGTGGTCCTCCGCGTTTCAACCGTTCCATACCTCTCTAGCCTTCTTTTCGACGTTCCGACCCCTTCTTTCCTCTCCGCCGGGTCGGACTTCTCAGGGTGTTCTTCAGTCCGCGCTGGACCATGAGATATCATTCAGTACCAGCACCCGACTCTACAGGTCTCCTCTGATAGTGGCTGAAATGGACTTAAAAGTGGCGGGTGGTGACCTGTAGAGGAGTATAGTGCTGGTATATCATATCATGACATATTGTTCGTGGATCGTCAGCACCAGCTACTTGTTTGGGGGGGAAGGATTGGAGACACACCACGCAGAGAAGCAAGAATTGAAGCAAGAACAGGTGGAACATCTTGATAACCTTAGATGTTTCCAGGGACGCTGAGGTCAGGATTATAGGAGCTTTCGGAAGGCAGTCAGGCAGACCATCCGGTCTTTGAGACCCCACTGAGTCGTCCATGTTTCTTGTTGATCGCGGAGTTCACGAAACAGCACAACAAAAACCTCGATCGGTCGAAGCTGGAAGTGAACCCAGTGCACGCACGAAACAGTAAAAGATGACGGGGAAGCATAAGATGACGTTCGTTTGGTTCTTGTTTGCTTGTGTTGTTTGACTTTGGTTTATGATCGTTCACGATCAATCTGCCAGCTTCACCCCGGACCGATGGTTTTCCCCGGATCCATTCCGAGGTTTCACCCGGATCATGGCTGATGGATCATGGCCGGTGTCTGCCCGGATTCACCCAGGTGATTCGCCCATCGGATCGGGATACCATGTCCGACGGCCCGTGGTTCGACCGGAGAGGTTCGGTTCGGGTCTGGCTCCAATGAAGAAAGACTATAGAAATCATACAACATTAGACCCGAAGAAGGTGATTTTTGCCGTACCTAAAGCTGAGTTCTTTTAGATTTACACTCTGACGAACACATCACATGGAAGTGGAAAGGATGAAAGTAGTCTTCGCTTACCGGCTCACTTTCCACGTAACCATGTGACGTGTTTGTCGAGTACAGCAGGTGGACCGAGATGTGGGTCGGTCATGACCTGAACCGACCGGCTGGAAGGTCGTTGAGGACTTCGACTCAGGCCCGACGACGGGTGTGACTGGTTTCATGCTAAGCCGTGAGAAGCCCTCTAGGCCTCCAAAAGCCGTGGGATTGTATAGGAAAGAAACCAACATCTTCAGAAACAAACGGAGTTTTGGTTGATGAAGGTGTTTGTTTGATGCAGTTTTTTGGTTGTGGGTTGAGGGTCGCTGGAATCATGAGGTCGTTCAATCTTAAATCCTTTCGGTGCAGACCACTTTGATCAGCCCTGACTCAAATCCAGACTAAGATAGATCGAGCTACAAAAGCCTTCCAACCACTCTCTAGTGGCCAACTGCAGTGATGCTTGAGATTTCTTCCAGGTTTTGCCGTGGATTCCTGGATGGATCTGCAAACCTTCGGGCGCCGGCTCGCCGTGCAGGCGACCAAGAGGCCGTGCGCCTGACGAGGGGCTTACGCGGGATTCTGCACTTTCGCCGCTGGATCCGTGGTGGACGGTTCGGACGGGGCGACGCTGGACCGCGGGTTGGGGTGGGTTGAGTTGCGGCGTTGGTGCGGGGCAAAGGAAGGTTTGCTGGATCATTGGATTGTGCTTAAGATGGTCAGAACTGTTTTTCAGTATCCCGAAATGGGGAGTGCGGCCTTAATCGTCGACCCTCCCAAGACCCCTAGCAACTGCCTCCAGCGAAGATGGTTGGGGTGGGGTTGGGGGCCAAATCACCTTTTGAGGATACGCTTGGAGCTCCACAGGGGACGGTCATCCCCATTTCAGTGCATAGTCCGAACATCGGGAGTATATAAACCTACCTACCGGCTGCACAGGGAGGAGGCCTCGAGTCATCCGAAGGAAGGGGCCGTGTTCCCATCCACGGAACCCTGATGATTTCAAGGAGTGTGCTTCTATTGGTGACCCCTTTGAAGGTGCTGGTAAGTGTATATATGTGTATGTTCCTGTGGTATCCCTGGGGCACAGCCGAGCCGGGCACTCCTCATGTGCTCCCTCTATGGTGATGGAAGAGCTTCTACTTCTACACCACCATGGGCAACATGACTTTTGTTGCTTGCAATCCATGGTGCAGGAGTTGACCCTGGACCTTGGACCTGGGACTTGTTGGACATATCTTTGCACTGAGTGCAGATCATGTGGCGTTAGAGCATTTTTGGACGTGGCATATCCACTTGTCACACTACTTCAGCAGGTTTTAGATCTGATCATTATCATATCTGATCTCATTCTGATCTTTGTCGCCCAGGTGATCGCGACGGCGACGCGATGGTGCGCTTCCCCAGGCGCTGTTCGAGGACGGAGCGATGCGGAGGTGTTGCATGACGTATATAGTGGTGTTTTGTCCCTAAGTGAGTGGATAATGGGCACCCCTAACCTCCTTGGATCGCACCCCGACATGTGACTGCAGGTAGTTTGCACTAAGAAATTCATTGGGGAGAGTACTCAGTTTCATGACCTCCCCACACCCCATCAAACGGCAGGGGGTCATGGATGGTCATGTTATGAATTGAACATGAAGTGAAGGAAAAGCGGCGGTGAAGAGAAGTATTAATATTATCCAGGCACTCCATTTATGCCATATATGCCTACATTGACCCCCAAAACCACCCCAATGTAGGCATATAACAGACATGGAGTGTCTGGGTTATATTACCCTAGAGATACAGCCGTATCTTCTCAGAAGGTACGACTGGACCCGACCCAGGCACCTACATAACAGTGTCGAACACATCACCGTACCTGAGAAGCTACGACTGGATCCCTAGGGCTGGTTGACCTCGATTCCTCAAACCCACGAGGAACATATATTATATGAACCCGCCAGGCTTTGATGCTCCAGGTGGTTTTCACCCGACTCCGGCAGGCTTGATGCCGAGTCTGTGGACCGCTTCGTGTTCGAGGAGGATGTCCGCTGTTCGATGCCACTGGGCACGGATGACGTTGAGACAGAGAGAGGTCAGAGGTCCCTTTGCCCTGTTTTAGAGGTTTTGGCTTCTACAGGGAGGCCCTTCCACAAGAAGACATGTTTGGATTCTGGATGGCCTGACTGAACGCAGGGGGGGGGTTCCTGTAGACTAAGAGGTGGACTGTATAGGCAAATCCTAGCTACACTCTGACGAACACGTCACATGGAAGTGGAGAATGGCCCCGTAAGGAAGACGATCTTCCTCTAGAAACAGGCAGGTTGCTACTTCCATGTGATGTGTTCGTCCGAGTGTGCTGAATCAACACTCCCTGAAAACATTCCCCCGGAGACTCCGCGACTCCGCAGCGTCCGTTGACTCCGCTGCTCATGGGCCGATTGTGGACCATGCAAAGGATTTGAAGGATGATGAAGGATGTATCCTCATGACAAAACGTAGGGACCGATGTGCAGTGTATAGAATATACATATACAGTCTCTCTCTCTCGTAGTCTCGAGTCGATTGGTGATTGTTTGGCCTCACAGACATGTTCAAAAGCGATGCACTCTTCGATTTGAATTGAGAACCGGCTCGAATGTCTTGAACTATATCCGGAGCCTTTCCACTAGAGCAAGATGTGATGAAACAAGCTTCGGATCAGAACCACAACGATCTGGGGTTCTTTGTGCTGCACCCTCATGCCGTTTGGCTGCCCTGAGCTACTGCTGCATCCTCAGGCGGAAGCGAGTCGCGCAGCAACAGCCAGCGGCCAAAAAAGGAGCCGAGCGTTTGCTGCGTGCACTGGAAAGCGAAAGCGGTTTCAGTCGAAATCACTGAGCCTGCAGATGAACAGGGGCCTTGAAAATCACTGTCGTCGAGGGAACCTTTCAGAAATCAAAGGGATGGAAGCAAAAGCAGCACGGTGCGAAGCCAGCAGTTTCTGCCTTCGGAGCAGCTGAGTGCTCAGCAGAGCCCCAACGAACCACCACACGCTTTCCGGAGGCTTTTGAGGCTTTGTCCATATGTATGTGGTAGTTTTGTTTGGAGGTATGAAGAGACCCACATGGAACCTAGCACAACACCTGCCAGGTTCTGAAGTCCTTCAAGCCAAAGCTAACTAGCTACTCTGAAGCTAATCTTTTCTGCTAGCACAAAAAAACTGGTGGAAGCCACACAAATAGTCAATTGGTCTTCTTCAGGTTCCATGTGGGCCTCTTCCCGGGTGTATATATCCTGGAAATGAACCGAACGCACATGTTTGGTTTGGACCATTTTGGCACATGAATTGACGATTTCATCACTTATGTGTCATGATGTTATGTAGCGTAGCTTATTCTGGTCATTGCAAATGTCGATATTTCCTCAAAAGGCGCCTAAAAAGTGCCCATTATAAGCGTTTGACACTTGGAAGTCCATGTTCATGTGAAATTCAATGTTACCTTGTTTTGCGTAAGGTACTTTGTTTTATTTTCCATAAATGGTTAAATCCCCCAAACCTGGTGAATATGTTGCTTTCTGCAGGTTCCTTAAGCAATCCAATGTTGCTTTGGGAAAACACTCAAGTGACCTCTCAAATAGGACGCAATTGGACGGTCGAGCTACTTGGATTGAGGTACACAGGCAGCAACCGGCAGCTTCCACCTTCAGCACCTAAGGAGCAACCGAAAAGAGACGGGGGGAGAGAGAGGGACAGAGACGGAGAGGGAGATGGTGCAAAGCGTGGCATGTTGTTCATGGGAAATTCATGAGCGTGAGGCGACAGAGGAGCATGGGTATATATACACTAGTATATATAGAAGCAGTTGTTCTTTGAGACTTAGAGCTTAGAGAAGGAAGTAGAGAAGGAATATTCTGGAATGGCTTACGAGGAACTTAGTCCAGAAGCCACCAGGACTGATCAGGTTCTGTGACTCGACAAGGCCACCGGAACCCGGGACACTCACATGATTGGATTCGGAGGACCAATGGCAGCATCCTCAAGGTTCGATATGGACCCCTATCCCAGACACTCCATGGGACTGGCATATTGACATCCATTGATTCCTTTTCAACCACCCCAACTGCTCGGTAAATATAACAGTCCCATGGAGTGTTTAGGTATTATACAAGATATCTTGGGGGGTTGTGCCATCGAGTCTCTGAAGACCACTGCAATTGGAGCACCGGCCAGATTGTGCCATCTACTCCTGAAACCACTGTAAACCCCGCTGTCTAGGAATCCCAGCTCGAACATAAAGAGTCCCTGCTTGGCCCTGCGAATGTGGACGGCTGTCCCGGCAAAGCTACAACAGTCGGGGAACAAGAACATCACTATTTTTGAGAAAGGCCTGCAAGATAATCGCCCGAGGGAATGGGATAGACCCAAATGCAAATGCTGACGGTTCATGTTGGGCTTATCCCATTAGCAGGATCCGAGTGGATAATGATGGCTAGACTAGATCGCAGCCCGTTCTCAAGAATAGTGACAATCTTCTTGACTGTTACATGTCATGGGACACACTCCACATCAAACCCCCACAAAAAGAACACTTACTCATGGTCTCGGGACCCAGGGAGAGTACAGGTCTTGGGACACACCCAAAAACGCACCCCAAAGGCCGTTTGTCCACCCAGCGCTGGACCCGTTGGTCGCGGGCCGTCGAGGAGGTCGAGTCTTCGGTGACGGTCGACATGCCGCTTCCCTCTGAGCAGCGAGTGGTTTGCTTTGGGGAGAAGGGTCAAACTCCAAAAGCTGCGAAAAGGGTCGTGTTTTTTTTTCACAATTTCAGCTAAAAGCTTCTATGTTGCCTCATTCAGCAACATCACATGGATGTACAACACGTTGTTGTTTTGCTGCGTTTAGGTTTGTGTTAGGTAATAAGTGTCCTATCTATTATGTAGTGCAAAAGGGTACTATCTTTATTTGTATATAGTAGTGGATGCCCCAATTATAGATGTAGTACTATACCTATACCGTACCTGTTTGTGGGCAGAATGTGGGGCCAAGGTATAGTGAACACTATGAGTCCACGGGGCAGCACCAGTCAGTCCGCTATATAGTATATGTTATTTGTGTTCCTTTGTGAACAATGAAGGTTCCACATATGCCAAGACCCTGTGCTTCTTGTTTGGGCCGCTGTACTGTAAGGAAAGGCATATGCCAGAGTTGCTTAAATACCTTGTTTGGCCTGGCGCGCATTGCTCTCATGAAAGCACAGTTCAGCATGCCCGGTGTTCGATCACATTTGGAAGAGGCCTTCCGGCAGAAACCAGCTTGTGTCTAGGGTTAGCTGCGGTTCGCTGGCCTTCTACGACTCAGGCTCCGGCTCCACTAGTGAACCCACTCGGTCGGGGGGGAAGAACCTGATAACGTCGCATTTGTCGCCCGACCTGCGGTCGTGAGAGTCTTTTAGACTTTATGAAAGGTGCAAACTCCGTCTTTCCTTTCCTTTCCTCTCCTGTCCTTGCCTTTTCCTTCCTTTCCTTCCCTATCTTCTATCATGTCATTGACCGGTTTTTTATTTCTCCTTCGCCTGTGTGCTCAAGGAAAGGCTTTCAGCCAGGGTCCTTCGCAAGTCGTTGGGTCCTTCGTGTTTGGGTCATCGCAGCCATGATGTCAGTGCATTGGGGCGCCTTGCTTGCTGGTATGTCTTTGGTCTCCTCCCTCAACCCAGAGGACTGGCACCCTGTAGACTTTGATTGTTTGATTACGGTATGTTTATTTTCCTATTTTGGTGGTGGACTGCACCATTGTGTCACATCAAAAGGACGGATTGGCCGTTTTGTAGCCAAGCCGCTGATAGTATTTCATGGGAATTCGTTGATTCGCCACAATTGAAGGACCTTGTCTTTAACTTTCTCCAAAAGCTTGGCATGCCAGAGAGGCGGGCCGAGGAAATCGCCAAAGACCCATGCAGCAACTGGCCCTTTGTGGAATGCAATGGACATGGCACAATCATTTCAATAAGCCTGCGACGAGAAAAGCTGAGTGGCCAAATCCCAGAGCAAGTCAGCCTATTCCAGTCCCTGCAATATCTAGACCTTGCCCAAAACCAGCTGAGTGGCGAAATCCCCAAGGAACTCAGCCAGCTCCAGTCACTGCAGATGCTATTCCTTGCTCAAAACAACCTGAGCGGTGAAATACCTAAAGAGCTCAGCCTGCTCCAATCCCTCACTGAGCTACACCTTGACCAAAACCAACTGAGTGGCAAAATCCCCAAGGAGCTTGGCCAGCTCCAATCACTGCAAACGCTATCTCTTGCTCAAAACCCTCTGAATGGTGAAATCCCCAACGAGCTCAGCCGGCTGCATTCGCTGCGGTGCCTATACCTTGCCCAAAACCAGTTGAGTGGCAAAATCCCCAAGGAACTCAGCCAGCTCCAGTCACTGCAGGACCTACACCTTGCCCAAAACCAGCTGAGTGGCGAAGTCCCCAAAGAGCTTGGCCAGCTCCAGTCGCTGCAGGATCTAGACCTTGCCCAAAACCAGTTGAGTGGCGAAATCCCCAAAGAACTTGGCCAGCCCCAGTCGCTGAAATACATGATCCTTCATCAAAATCGGCTGAATGGCAAAATTCCAACGGAGCTCGGCCAGCTCCAGTCATTACAGCGCTTACAACTTGCACAGAACCAGCTGAGCGGCGAAATCCCCAAGGAGCTCAGCCAGCTCCAGTCACTGCAGTACCTTCACCTGGCCCAAAACAACCTGAGCGGCGAAATCCCCAAGGAGCTCGGCCAGCTCCCCCTCACTGAGCTACACCTTGACCAAAACTACCTAAGTGGCGCAATCCCCAAAGAGCTCGGCCAACTCCAGTACCTTACTGACCTACACCTGGACCAAAACCAGTTGAGTGGCCAAATCCCCAAGGAAGTTGGCCAGTTCTTGTCACTGCAGATGCTGTCCCTTGCTCGAAACCAGCTGAGTGGTGAAATCCCCAAGGAGCTCAGCGAGCTGCCCTCGTTGGAGGTACTGCACCTTGACCGCAACCAACTGCAGGGCGATTTGAAGGAGATTGCATTCAACAACGCCAACCTGAAGAGTCTTGACCTCAGTTTCAATCTGTTGAGTGGAGAGCTGGGTATGGGCTTGCCCCTCACTGAGCTTGAAGAGCTCGATTTGAGCCACAACCAGCTTGTCGGAGACATTATGACATTCATCGAACCTTTCTGCCGTAAGAACCCTGCCGGGATGTCATTGCAGCAGCTGCGGTTAAACCACAACAAGCTCAGCGGTGAGTTGCCTCCATGTTTGATGCAGCTTAAGAATTTGCAGCTCCTGGCTCTGAACAACAATTACTTCTCGGGAGCCATTCCAGAAGTCCAGGCACCCGAGCTGGTGGTGTTGGCTCTTCACAAAAATGCCTTCACAGGCCATTTACCAAAGGGGCTGGAAGAATTGAAGCATTTGGGAGTTTTCACCGTGCACGAGAACATGCTTGTGGGTACAATTCCCCAGTTGACCCTCACCACCCTGTGCATTGACAACGCGCGATTCAACATCCATTGGGCCACTTGCCGCCTTTTGAGCAAATCGTACAAGGGATGCTACAATCCAGACCTCATCATCGACCTCCGTGCGGCTCGCTTTCAGCAAGTGGTCAAAAACTGCCCCAGATGGTGCGATGCTTGCCCAAACGGGACCGCCAACATTACGCTTCACAGGAATCGCCTGTCAGGCAACATCCCGAGCAGCATCAGCAGAACTGACGTGTTAGGTTTGTGCATCATGGGCAACATGCTTGGGAACGGGCGAGAAGTCAACTCATCATGGATACTGACTGAAGAGAAGCAGCCATTCCTCTACTATTCGCCGAAAGTGTGGAACTCACACACTCAGCTGTTGGGTGACATGGACTTGCTCAACGTGTTTTTTTTGGTAGTTCTATCAAAGAATTGACTGATAACCCCTTTTGCTCAATGTGTTGCTTTTTGGATTCCACTAATAAGCCAATGGATTTCCCTTTCACTTGACAGACATGGCTTTGCCCAGTTCCTTAATCTATATCCCCAGGTGGTATGTACATCTTGTTCTTCGGCATGGCAGTTTTCAGCTGGCCACTTCGCCAAAAGTTCCTCCAGACATTTCGCAGCTTATGCATAGGGCAGGCAGCTCTGGTGGTGGCTTCCAATGTGGTGGTGTGACTTGGAAGATGACTGGGTGTTGTTGTTTCTTTGCCACGTCAGCACTGGGATATGACATTTGTTGTTAGAGTCTGTGTGCCGTCCGCTCTTAAACGAAAACCTTCACTTTTGCCTTGAACAAACATGTCCAAAGCACATCGAAAGGTTGAAAGCCGCGGGCACGGCGCTTGCATTGGCGTGCCCGCTCTTACTCTTCTGTTGGCGCAAGGCTCGCTACTATGCCTCTGCACCACCTTTGTGGAACGTCACTGCTGCCAACTTCGAAGCAGATCAAGGGGTGGATTCGGTGATAGTCGCCTGTTGGTGCGCGATGGCGCTTCTTTTTCGCACGGTGGTTGCAAGTATGCCCAAGACTCCATTTTTGCATGCCCCTTCTGTAAAAGCGCGACTTCAGCGACTTGGAAGAGTTGTGGCTTGGGTTTGTTGGTTTGGCATTGTCTTCATTTTTTCATTGCCATCCATTCTCTTTGCTTTCTCCCAATCTTTGCCCGCACACAACTCACTTCCGGTGAGTGATCTTGTCTTGCAATGGTTCAACAGTCTTGCCCCTTACCTGAATGTGCTCATTGACATGGTGCTCTCAGCTCCAGTCTCGGCCAAGTATGCAGCAATCACAGGAATCAAAGCAGATCGTCTACTTATGACTTTTCGTCTCTTTTCAGCTTGGCTCTTAGCGCTGCTTACCACAGTTGTATTGGATGAGAACTGCTTATCAGGCTGGAAATGGACTTGGACTGTGTGCCAAGTAGGGTCATCGAACCACCAGAACTTCAACTGGGAAGTCTTTGGCGAGGAGATTTTGAACACTGACAAAGACATTTGTGGGTCGAGTGATAGCTGGTGGTCAGATGGCAGGTGTAGCCGGGCCATCGTAGGAAACTTGACGCCCTTCCTTCTCAAAAAACTCATGGTTCGAGCGACGGTCCAACCCTTGATGCTATTGATCCTGTGGCACTGCTCAAAGCTGGAGATGGCAAGAGACGACTTCCAGGGAAGACATTTGAAGCTTTTCGGTCGGTGGCCAAAGATGACCGGCTCGCTGGTACCTTTGCAGCAACTGTCGTTGCTGACCACGCTAGTGGATGCTTTGTTGCAAAAGGTGCATTGTCACATTACTGTTGACTTGGGGAAGACAACCCTTTTTTGATCTCATTCACACTGAATAATATATGCAACATGCCAGAGTTGGAATCGATTGAAATTTGCACACTTACAATTTCAATGAAATTCAGTGGTTTGTTGACATGTTTGTTTTGGCGTTCAAGAAGGGAAGCACAGGGCCACAAGGGCCATTATGGACCTGTGTTGCAAACATATGCTGTAATGAAACATGTTGATGTTCTAGTCTAAGTTAGCCAAGGAAATGTTAATCTTTTGGACTCCGGTGGTTCCCCTACTGGGCTTCGCAATCCTTGCAACGGCTCTGGCCAATCTCTTCATGTTCAATGCTGGCCTGTGGAACTTCCGAGTTATTTTACCGACGGATGAGATGAACAGAGGAGCTTCCATATCGACGTCATATCTGCAATTTGCTCTTTGGTCCGGCTCCTTCTTTCAGATATGGTACGCCTTCGGCACCAAGTTGTTTGGTCGATATGCACTGCTGGCAGTTCACGTCACCATCATGGGGCCATGGGCCAAGCACTTTCTGCCTGTGGACCTGGCCAGACGCCACTTCTGGACGGAGCATCAAACTGCCAGTGATGTTCAGGTAATCGAGATGGCCGTTCAGTTCGAACCAAGTGCGTCATGATGCCAAATGTGTCAGGAGAAAAGCGCCACGGGGTTGTGTGTTGCTTGCATGTTGGATGTTTCTCACTTCACCACCTGCGCTGCCGAGCTGCCGGGCTGGCCGATCGGATTGGGTGATTTCGGTAGCTCCGGCCGGTACCGGTGGACACTCCCATTCGGTGGCAGCAGACGAACGAGAGGTTGCTCCGACCCTCGGAACCCCCGGGAGCTGCTCCTTTGCTCCTTTGCTCCGAGCGACGAGCGGTTTCCGGGATCGACAGCAAGGATCGGGACCGGGTCCTTTGGTTTGGGGTTCCGACCGAAGATGTCTAACCCAAACCCACAACCAGCAGCGCCGGTTGATAGGCCCTTCCGTGACTGGGGACCTTCGGGCGGTCTCAGGGTCTGAGCCATATCAAGAAGCCTAAGAATCCTTGGGCTCTCCATGGCAGGGGTCGGACCCTCCATAGCAGGGGTCCGGACCCTCAAAACCCTATGTGTTTGAGGGCCCGGATTCTTAGGGAAGCAAAGATATCACAGACCAGCACCCGACTCTACAGGTCGAAAAACCGTCGCGACTTGGAAAAAACACCTGCAAAAGCCCACCCACCCACCAATTCGGAGGCCTGTAGAGTCGGAGTCGGGTCCTAGGAGATGCCCGCATCCACAGATCCGACCCCCGACCTGTACCTCTTGGAACCGGCCACGCGCCGCCCGGCCTCAGGTTGGTCCAGACCGGCAGCGAGGTCGAATCGAAGGCGGCGGAGCTGCTGAAGCCTCCCTTGACATGGGGGGGTACCACCGTCTTCTTTTTCCCCACCTGTCAGGTGAGGGTTGTTAGATGTTACGTCGTCTTCTTTGTTTTTTGTGGCCCACTTCGTGAAGAACATGGAGTATGGAGAAGGAACCCGACGATCTCCAACGCAAGTTCACACCTTTGCCTTTTGAAAAAATCACTGTGCGTCGCACTGTGCTTCCCGTAGGCCCCTGGAGGCAATGTTAGTTCGGTTTGCCTTGCGCTTAGCAATGCTTAGCACCATTATGCAAAAAACAGCAGAAACCGATGTTTTACAGGGAAATGATGCACCGGATCTAGAGAACAATGAGGACACTTGTATCAACATGTAACAAATCAGGCCTTCAGTAGAAATACAGGAACCTACAGCATTCACAGGGTCTATTTTCTGTGTGTTTGGTAGGCCCGGTAGGCCACATCCATGCAGGAAATCCAGAGTCGACACCCTTGGCGTGTGACTTGACGGATGACTTGGTGTGTGACGGATCCCGAACTCTGCTGGGGTATATGGATCGATCCGTAATTACTGGAAGGGATCCGTTCTCGTACCGAACCGACCAGTAGATACGACTGGACCCGAGGTGACTGGGCAGCGTCTCATGTCTCAGTGTCGAACACATCACAGGAAACCTGAGAAGGTACTTGGATTTTTAGCTCCAATCACCACCTGAGAAGGTACGACTGGATCCCCAAAAGGGGTATAGACGAAGGGGTTCCCCTTCAGAGATGTCTGTGGCGTCCCGGCAGCCAGGACGAGACGCACAGCGTGAGCACTGGTAGTTGGTACTGCTAGACGTTTGATCGGTGTGAGCGATGGGTGTTGAAGCGACCGGAGAAATCTGCTGGTCTTTGGTGGTGATCACCACATGAACCTCATGGAACCTGATATTACATCAGATGGAACTGATACATATTGCAATGGCCTCCAACCTGAGATATATTCTACACCCTGGTGTCCACGATCCCATGGAACCGAAAAAAACCCCTGGTTGGTAGAGGAACATCCTCTTCCGGACCACGTTGTTGGATCTATATATCCCAGACTATGCCTACATTGAGCCCAAAACCACCCCTGGCCTGATCGGCACATATGGCAGTCCCATGTGTCGTGTTTGGGTATGTTAGTTGACTTGGGAGTGTAAGACGGGTCAATTCATCGCCTGCCAGACCACACTCGACCGCCTCTCTGCGTCAGATCGCCACGCCCGGTGTGGCGTGGTGTGGCTGCCGCGCCGCTTGGGACTGTGAGCCGCGGATGGGCGGGAGAGGGTGGAGAGGGGGCACCGCGGATGGGGAAACTGGTCATCGCTTAGAGTTGAAGGTTTAGTAATGACGTCGTGATGACATGATGTGTAGATAGTGAAGCAGCAATGAATGTTTCCGAGTTTCGAGTTTGGGAACCGGTGGTGTCTAGCCAGATTGATGGAAAACCCCCTGCAGCTGTCAGCCACCTCATGCTTCTCCATGCGAGAATTCTGATTCCACCCACGCAGTTTGGAGGAAGACATTGGTTGGGATTGAAAAGAAGACAAACCGAAAGTGATCCCAAGAGGGCTTGAAGGGGTGGAGGTTCCTTTTCGAAACCGTTTTCCATGCCGCAACTATCGGACCATTGCCGGAGAGACTGACTCATCAAAGGGGGAAAAAATGATTCCCTGCGTCAGCCGTTGGTGGGAAGGATGAGGAGGAAAAATTGATAAAGACGGTGTACTTTATTCACTGGAACGATCAGCGGCATGTTTTTCCTTGCTGGGCGATGGTGGGCGAACGGAGATGATCCCTGACTGACTTGGAGTCGTGGATGTATTTTACCAGTATATGATATGTGCGTCAAATGAGGCACTGACCAACACTCCTTAGGCTATGTCACATGTCGCACATACCAGTATATGGGAAGCATCGGTTCCCTTCGTTGCTGGGAAATCAGAAATCCCACACCACCCGCCGGGCATCCCAGCATCATATCCCACCGGATGATCCTCTTCCATGTTTGGAGTGCTGAAACAGGCTGAAAACTCTGGTCGATTTGAGGGCGACAACGTACACACTGGGAACCGAACCAACGGCAGATGCTAAGACCGACTTGGCGCACACGGAGCCTAGGGGGCTCGTCATTTGATCCGACTTGGCTGGAGGGAATGAGAAACGAGCCACGAGTGGCACCAGCCCTTTCGCAGGTGAAGTCGGTGCCTTGTTTGCCATGTCACTGCGTTGGGGCGTGTGGTTTGCTTGCATGTTTGTGGCCTCTAGCAACCAACAGGACCGGTGTGCAAGATTGTGCAAGCATATTTGCTGTATTCATTTCATCAAGGTGGTTTTCTATAACCTGACACGGGCGTGTTGGGCAGCACCCGTGTGTCACATCAAAAAGCCTTTCGTAGCTTTGCCCTTTGTATTCTGGAGCCAGTCTTTGTCATGTTTGCAGGACGTCATCCTCGAGATCCTCCAAAAACTTGGCATGCCAAAGAGGCAGGCCGAGGAAAAGGTCAAAGACACATGCAAATCGCCAAATTTGGGATGCAATGGCAACGGCACAATCAAGGTAATAAGCCTTGTCCGAGAAGAGCTGTGTGGCAAGATTCCCAAGGAGCTCAGTAAGCTCCAGTCACTGGAGACCTTGGAACTTGGACAGAACCAGCTGAGTGGCGAAATCCCCAAGGAGCTTAGCCAGCTCAGGTCACTCAGAGGCTTACACCTTAACCAAAACCAGCTGAGTGGCGAAATCCCCGAGGAGCTCAGAGAGCTCCAGTCACTGCATACTCTAGACCTTGAACACAACTTGCTGAGTGGCAAAATCCCCAAGGGGCTTAGCCAGCTCAAGTCACTTAAAGGTTTACACCTTAGCCAAACCAGCTGAGTGGTGAAATCCCCAAGGAACTTGGCCAGCTCGACTCCCTGTGGAATCTAAACTTTGCCCAAAACCAGCTGAGTGGCGAAATACCCAAGGAGCTTGGCCAGCTCCAGTCGCTAGAGACACTATCCCTTGCCCACAACCAGCTCCATGGTGGAATCCCCGAGGAACTCAGCCAGCTCAACTCCCTGTGGAACCTAGACCTTGCACAAAACCAGCTGAGTGGTGAGATCCCCAAAGAACTCAGCAAGCTCCATTCACTGCACAAGCTATCCCTTGCTCAAAACCAGCTGAGGGGCAAAGTGCCCAATGAGCTTAGCCAGCTGAAATTACTGAGAAGCCTACACCTTGACCAAAACCAGCTGAGTGGTGAAATTCCCCAGGAGCTTAGCCAGCTCCAGTCACTACACACGCTATCCATTGCTCAAAACCTGCTGAGTGGTGAAATCCCCAAGGAGCTCAGCCAGCTCCAGTCACTGCAGGTGCTGCACCTGTCCCGAAACCAACTCCAGAGCGATTTGAAGGAGATTGCTATCAACAACACCAACCTGAAGAGCCTTGACCTGAGCTTTAATCTACTGAGTGGAGAGCTGGTGATGGGCTTGCCCCCAACTGAGCTTGAAGAGCTCGATTTGAGCCACAACCAGCTCGTTGGAGGCCTTTGGAAGCTCATCGAGCCTTTCTGCCGTGGGAGCCCTGCCGAGATGTCAGTGCAGCAGCTGCGTTTAAACCACAACAAGCTCAGCGGTGAGCTACCTCCATGTTTGATGCAGCTTAAGAATTTGCAGCTCCTGGCTCTGAACAACAATTACTTCTCGGGAGCCATTCCAGAAGTCCAGGCACCCGAGCTGGTGGTGTTGGCTCTTCATAAGAATGCCTTCACAGGCCTTTTGCCAAAGGGGTTGGAAGACTCGGAGCGTTTGGGAGTCTTGACGGTCCATGAGAACATGCTTGTGGGTGCCATTCCGCCATTGAGCCTGACCACCCCGTGCATCGACAACTCGCGGTTCAGTATTCGAGGCTTGAGTTGCAGCTTTCTAGGCAGCAACTTTGCATGCCACGAGCCATCTCTGCGGGGTCTTGGGCCTGATGGCTTTCGGCAAGTGGTAAACTGCCCCCGATGGTGCGATGCTTGCCCAAACGGAACGGCCAACATTACGCTTCACAGGAATCACCTGTCAGGCAAAATCCCAAGTAGCATCAGCAGAACTGGCGTTTTAGGCCTGTGCATCATGGGGAACATGCTCGGAAAAGGGCGAGAAATCAACTCATCATGGATACTGCCTGAAGAGAAGCAGCCTTTCCTCTACTATTCGCCGAAAGTGTGGAACTCTCACACTCAGTTGTTGGGTGGCGTGGACTTGCTCAACGTGGTTTTTGTTGTTTTCTTATACTTTTGTATTATTTTGCAAGTTCCATCAATGAATCGCCTTTTGCTTGACTGTCGTCATAGCATGTTTGTTTTGCCCAGCTCCCTGATTCGCAACTGTTAGGTGGTATGTACGTTTTGTTCTTTGGCATGACAGTTTTCAGCTGGCCACTTTGCCAAAAGTTCCTCCAGACACGTCGCAGCTTGCATGTAGGGCAGGCAGCATTGGTGGTGGCTTCCAATGTGGCAGTGTGACCTGGAAGATGCCAAGGGATAGTTTCTTTTGTGTTTCAATTGGTTGCTTTATGCTAGATTCTAGATCCATCTATAGATCCCTATATTTCGATCATCCCACCCCCACTTAAACCAGACACATCATTGGCCAAAGTACGAGCACCCGGTTTTGAGCCGGCGTCTTCACTCCCAGACTTTCGGAACGGGGAACGGGTTGGACGCATGGCCCCAGAGTTCGGAGGACGACCTCTACCGAGTTCGGAGGGTGTTCCACTTCTGTGTTTCAGGGAGGACCCTGGGAGTCAAATAAGACTATAAAAAGAATGGTCTGACGAACGGGGACCTGATTTCGGGAACTTCCTGAACACTTCAGCCGGTCAAAATATAGTCGAACTGGACTTCTAGGGTAGACAGTGTAGATTTTTGTTGTTCAATTGGTTGTTTCATGCTAGATCCCTCTCTCTCTCTCTCTATATGTACATATAACATGTTGATCGACCCCCGACTTAAACAAGACACACCGACACATTTCGGCCACTCCCAGGCTGAAAGCCGCGGGGAGCGCTTTTGTATTGGCAGGCCCACTCTTGATTTTCTTTTGGCGATCCGCTCATTACTATGCCACTGCACCACCCTTGTGGAACATAACTGCTGCCAACTTTGAAGCTGACCCTGGGGTGGGCTCCATTATTATCTCCTGTTGGTGTGCGATGGCACTCCTTTTTCGCACCGTGGTTGCAAGTATGCCGAAGACTGCACCTTTACATGCCCCTTCAGTCAAGGCACGCCTTCAGGAGAGACTTCGAAGAGTTGTGGCTTGGGTTTGCTGGTGTGGCATTGTCTCCATATTTTCATTGCCATCCATTCTTTTTGCTTTCTCCCAATCTTTGCCTGCACACAACTCACTTCCGGTGAGTGATTTTGTCTTGCAATCGTTCAACAGTCTTGCCCCTTACCTGAATGTGCTCATTGACATGGTGCTCTCAGCTCCGGTCTCGGCCAAGTATGCAGCAATCACTGGCATTAAAGCGGATCGTCTACTTATGACTTTTCGTCTCTTTTCAGCTTGGCTCCTGGCGCTGCTTACCACAGTTGTATTGGATGAAAACTGCTTATCAGGCTGGAAATGGGCTTGGACTGTGTGCCAAGTAGGATCCCCGAACCACCAGAATTTCAACTGGGAAGTCTGGGGCGAAGAAATATTGAATACAGACAGAGACATTTGTGCATCTAGTGATGGCTGGTGGTCAGATGGCAGGTGTAGCCGGGCCATCGTAGGGAACTTGACGCCCTTCCTTCTCAAAAAGCTCATGGTTCGAGCGACGGTCCAACCTTTGATGCTATTGATTTTGTGGCACTGCTCAAAGCTGGATATGACAAGAGACGACTTGCAGGGAAGACATTTGAAGTTTTTTGGTCGGTGGCCAAAGATGACCGGCTCGCTGGTACCTTTGCAGCAACTGTCATTGTTGACCACACAAGTGGAAGCTTTCTCGCAAAGGGTGCAGCAGCATGTTTGTTTCCTTTTGGTCGCGTGCGAAGAACATTAAAGGTAAAGGGCTGTATATGGACTGACCATGACTGACCGATGCTTCCTACGGTTTGCCACATCGGTTTAACGGTTCAATCTTGCCAAGGAAATGTTGATTTTTTGGACTCCATTTGTTCCCCTACTGGGCTTCGCGATCCTTGCAGCAGCTCTGGCAAATCTCTTCATGTTCGATGCTGGCCTGTGGAACTTCCAAGTCACTCTGCCGACGGATGAAATGAACAGAGGAGCTGCCATATCGACGTCGTATCTGCAATTTGCTCTTTGGTCCGGCTCCTTCTTTCAGATATGGTATGCTTTTGGCACCAAGTTGTTCGGTCGACATGCACTGCTGGCAGTTCACGTCACCATCATGGGGCCATGGGCAAAGCACTTTCTGCCCGTTGACCTGGCCAAACGTCACTTCTGGAGGGAGCATCAAACTGCCAGTGATGTTCAGGTGATCGAGATGGCTGTTCAGTTTGACCAGGAACCAAATGCATCATGATGCCAATTTCAGGCGAAAAAGCATGCAGCGATGAGTTTGCGTTTGAGACGTGAAACAGAGGGAGGACGATTTTTACCGACCATCCTTCAAAATCCAAAGGCGAAAGTCGGGGTCATCATCCCAAACGATAGAGATCTAGGGAGGCATCATCTTACGATATCCCATGGCAACTGCAGTATAGTAAGCAGTAAGCAAAATTAGATGAGGGTTCTTTCAGTTCAGGTATCTTCTCCACCACGGTCTGCCGGTCGTTCTGAGCCGGGGCCTCTCAGCCGAAAGACAGCAGAGACCTCTCAGGTTCTTCCCACGCGATCGACCAAGGCGAGAACGGAACGGGAGAAAGCCGAGAAATCGGATCGGATCTGGGAGCGACCTGATGAGAAAGAGAGTAGGATGAGACCCCATCACTCACGGCACATCTGAGGCGAACACATTTGGTTGCAGTGCCTGAGATTCACCCATTCCGGGCTTGCCTTCAGACACCCAGCTTCCTTCCGGTCACCTGGTGGGTCAGTCGTTTTAAGGAGCGAAAGGCTTGCGGCACAGCAGCACAGTGCAGTTCCTGGTTGTTTTGCCAGTGAGGTTTAGTCATTGGTCCAAGGAGAGAGAAAAGGTTTGGAGCACGTAGAATAAGACATCGAAAAACAGCTGGTTCCAACCTCCAACGGTGGGAAAATATACATTGCCAAAGACCAAGCCAGTTGCTCACTGCATGCATTCTTACTCCTTTGTCATCTCTTTTCAAAAAGGTTCGCTCTTCGCGCTTTGACTTCCTGTGCAGGAAGCGTTTCCTGTGCAGGAGATTCCCATTCCAAGCGGGGGCTCATTCATTGCAGAGGTCACACACCTCGAGACATATGCTCGAAAACCCCCCGACACGCCGGATATCCTCTCGAACGACAGAACCCCAAGTGTGCTAATTGGCTCAAGAGAGCATTACGGAGAGCCTGGTTTTGCTTAGTAGCTTTTGTTTTCCCTATCGGTGAATCCCCTTCCCGGAAATATTTGTTCTCCCTGGCTCCTTAAGCCTTAAGCAAATCCCAGAGAGTCTTCTTGTACTCGTCTACTGGCTGAGTGAACTTCCCACATGACGGCGGGTAGCTCGACCATGACGGTCAACGCACCAGGGTTGGATCCTCTTCTTGCGGGATGAGCGCAGGCTGGAGCAGTGAGTGTTTTGATCGGGATGTTCATTGGTGGCGTGGAGGGTGATCGGTGTTGAAACGACAACAAATTTGGTGGTGATCACCCCTATGAACCTCATCCGGATGGCATCTTTGCAAGCGTTTGTTTTTGGAATGCTGGTGAGCATTTAGCAGCAAAGAAGCTATAGTCAGCTAGTCCCCGTAGAATTTTCAGCCAAAGAGGCCGATTGTTGGTGTGTCAACCACTTTTGCATTGTCAGACCTTCCTTCCAATTCCTTCCGAAATCGGATTCACGCTCGCTCGACGCGATCGCGGCGATGGGGAGAGCGAACTTCGGATGAAGGTTCAATCGCTGAGCTCGTCGTGATGACATGAATATAGTGACTTCTACAGTGCAGTGAAAGCCACGTGGTTGAGATGTCAGGTGCAGGTGTTCTAGAATTGGCTTGATGAGAGTGACAGGTGCGGCTGGGTGCCCTAAGTGTTGAGGGATCCACCATCCACCGCTTAGACATAGGCTCAATGTGAAGCAGTGGGTATGATACTTGGACCGAAATCCAATGGAGTCCACTGTGTTCGGCTCTCAAGCAATCAGGAGGTGCTTTCATCAAGCAAGTTTCACCATCTTTCACCACATTTTTTGAGGGAGACGGGTTTGGGGGTCTGAAAACCTGTGACTGTTCTGGTTCGGCTCAGACATGTGTCAGTTCGGGGGGCTCACAAGCCCCTTTTCAACGTGTCGTGACTTCAGCACACACAAAAAACTCGGAAGCCTGTTCGGAGTGTAGAGCCAGCCGAGGAAGAGACGTGGTCTCGGAGACAGCGGAGAGGCCGTGGTGAGGCTTGAGAGGGAGAGCATGGGCAGAGCATTTGATGTGTGAGCCCAGGGTGGTCCAATAGTGCAAGGGTCCTTGTAGATGACCGGCACTGGGGCAGAAGAGTCGGCATAGCAAAAATGATACTGCCAACATGTGAGTTAGAATGAGACATCCAAGGTATAGTCTAGTGGATCTGTTACATGGGAAAGGACCAGCAGCAGAGTTGGCATAGCACCCTCATTGCTGCAGGAAACCACCGTGAGGGTTTTTCCGTTTGAGTGATTTGGGGTGCTGTGTGGTGCAAATCGGTGGCTAGAAAGCAGCATAAAGCAGCCCATCGCCGCTTTTTCTGCAGATGAGTGTGGTCCTGACCGGAATGGCCCAGGCGGCCGAGGACGGTGCCACGCCAGGATCCGAGAGTGGCGGTCGAGCAACCAGTGTGTTCACATCGGCGCGCGGTGTGGGGGAATCCGAGACTCTCAGCCTCAGCTCTATCCCTCCGAAATGTCAGCCAAAGAGGCTGGTGTCAGTTCGGGGTGTCAACCACTTATTGCATCTTATTGCCTTGGCATTTCAGACCTGCCTTGTGGTGACATCCCTTTGACGACCCACCGGACCCTTTAGGCCTCCGCTCCGCTCCGCTCCCGCAAAATTCGAAGCATCGGGTCGGGTCAGATGTTCCGATGTTGGCCAAAACCTGTGACTGTTCTGATTCATCATGGTAAACATCGGTTCAAAAGATGCGTCAGTGCGGCGCTTTTCTCAACACCTCCCGACTTCCGTACGCACGAGGTCAAGCCTTGTCGGAGTGTCGAGCCTGCCGAGGAAGATGCGGCAGGAGATGTGGTGCTCTGAGACAGCGGAGAGGCCGCAGTGAGGCCTGGAGGGAGAGCATATGGCAGATCACTTGTTCGTGATCCCAGCGTAGCCAAATAGTGAAGGGTCATTGTGGATGACCATACCTGGGCCAGATGACATCCAACTGCTGATGCTGTTTCCATTTCGTGTAGAACTGGCCGGTTAGCTGCCAACAACAAGACAAAGAAATAGTTGACAAAATGCAAGTTTACATGACATGTGGATGGCCAATCTCGAAGACCACCGGATGTGAAGACTCATCAAGTCCACTCCAAAAACCAACCGCATGTTGCGTTATTAGCCGTAGATTTCACTTCACTCAAACAAGTGCTTTTCAAGAGCCAGGGTCCACACAGCGAGTCGTGGTCAGCGCAGCCATGTCAGTGCGCTGGGGTGCCTGGGGTGCCTTGTTTGCCTGTGTGTCGTCGGTGTCCTCTATGGACAACCAGGACTGCCGTGTCTTAGTTAACTTCATTCAGGCACTTCTGTTGAATTGCCAGGCAGGTTATATTGCACTTGTTGGTGATGGGCGGCACCCCAATTTCAAAAGGGAAGGACAGACTGTTTTGTAGCCAACCTTTTTCGTAGCTTTGCCCTCCCACTGGCATTCACGGAGAGAGTTTGCGTTCCGTCAGTTGCAGGATATCATTTTCGACATTCTTCAAACACTTGGCATGTCAATCAGGCAGGCCCAGAAGTTGGCAGGCGACCCATGCGGCAGTGCGTCCAGTTTGAGATGCGATGTCAACGGCGCAGTCACTGCAATAAGCCTTGGCCAGAGGGGGCTGACTGGTGAAATCCCCAAGGAGCTCAGCCAGCTCCAGTCACTCCAGGAGCTACACCTTGCACAAAACCA